AATTATACATTTCAGAGTACATAGGTTCTTTTCAGATAATTTGCTATATACAAATAGATACTAAGAGAATGCTTAAGATTGAGCTGTAAAACCTTAGGGGAGCAGTAAGTTAACTTATAACTGTGTTACACTTTTAAAGTATTAGTAAATCATAGCATTAAAAACCATAGTCAGGGACACCTTTGGCCTGCACCTGGAAGAACTTAAGAAGAACGTTGTTAAAAGAGAATCTCTATGGTCCCTTCCTGTGATGATTGAGATATTGTGCATACATTAATTATTTATACAACTGAAACATATCGCTTTAGGTGGCAAACTTTTAGCAATTTCAGGTGGGAATCTTTCTCTTATTTGTGCCTTAATATTTTTACTTTTACTAGTATATGCCTCTGATAAGGAAGGTTATATTTTCATAACCTTCTTCAACCAAGGCATAATAAACATAGTTTAACCTTTACTTGAGGAATTCAGATCATTACCATGAGAAGCATTTCTTGTATTGTACTTTAATATAATAATGTAAAATAATATTACATTATTAGCAGAAGAACATAGCACAAATTCAGCCTTTTTTGCTTTTCCTTTCTTTTTTTTGGAGCTTATGGGAATCATTGATCTAGTCCTATTTAATCCTCAGAAGATACTCTATTTGAGTTCTGTACCTGATATTTTATAATATTTCTTGATTTACTTATTGTCAAGATGTTATTGTGATTCTTTCTGTTTTTATGTCTATCATAAGGCTTTTAATCCAGGTTTTTAGAACTAATTTTTTTTGGAATTTTGTGAAACAGCCTCTTAGGGGTAAATTTTGGTAAATGAATTTTAGCTTAAATTATAGACTTTGTAATTACTGTTTTTGACTACTCAAAACCCAAACTTCAGACATTAATATTTTCAAAATCTGGTGATTTGAACAAAGATTTACTTTGAATTGTGCCATTTTGCTTTAAGAGTCTTAACAAAGTAATTTGCATAGTAACAGTTAAATGTTGGATTTTACCTTTCCGTAGTTTTAAGGACAACATACTATTAGTTTTATGTTTAATCTATATATATAAATGGCTGATATGCTAAGTGTCCCTCCGCCTGTCTGACTGGTCACTATGACACCCACTGACCACCAGGGGGCAGACACTCAACACAGGAGCTGCTGTGACACATACTCGCCATTTTCAGAGAAACTGCACGGACCTGGTGTCAACAATGCAACACTTGGCTTCCCCCAAGTGGGACACAGGCCCCGCCATCACCCCAGAGCGACAGCCCACCAAATCGCAGCCAACACTGCCGTGGCGCAAAATGTGGTCCACAGCCCAGCCCAGCCCAGCCCAACCCGGAAACAGTGGCTATGGGCATCGAGTAATGACATCACGTAGCAACGTCAGGCTTCCTCTCCCTAGTGACTAGCCTCCTTGGAGTTTCTTCAGCCCAGGAATACAGTTTGCTTTATAGCCAGGTGCAGATATTTTATTTTATTTTTATTTATTTATTTTTCAACAGACAAGTGCATGCATATATATATATATATATATATATATA